ATTGAAATGGGTATATATTTGTTTTTTGTTAAGTTGCCTAATAATTATGCACAGTAATAGTCACCTGCACACACAGATATCCCCCTAAAATAGCTCAAACTAAAAACAAACTAAAAACTACTTCCAAAAACGTTCAGCTTTGATATTAATGAGTTTTTTGGGTTCATTGAGAACATGGTTGATGTTCAATAATAAAATTATTCCTCAAAAATACAACTTGCCTAATAATTCTGCACTCCCTGTATTATTTGCAATAATAATCAGTCACCCAAATGTGGTTAGGTACCTTTGAGGTCTGCGATGACTGAAACCACTCATTATCACAGGGGCTGGACTCCAGAGAGGACATGTACTGTTCAGACGCAGATGTCAGGTCATTGTGATCCACAGATGGCAGGTCTACAGGGTACATGGCCTCTTGGAGAGGATACAGATGTTTAAGATGTACTTACGCATTTACACAAGATACAAAAAATAGAAACAAAACGTGAGTCTTGACTTTATGGATCTGATTACATTAGTATTCTCCCGTGTGCGACCACCAGATTGTCTTTAAAACGGTTAATCTTTAAAGCTGCGTCCCCTTCATTTAACACTGCAAATACACGAGAGAATGAATTATGAGTCCGCACAAGCTGTCCGGTCCTCCCGGTAAAATCGGCGCATAAGTTAATGCAACGGTCCCCAGTCCCCGGGCCACGGACCGGTACTGGCCCGTGAGTCGTTTGGTAGCGGGCCGCGAGAGTTGAGGCTCGAGTGTGAAATTTAGGGGTTTTATTTATTATTTATTTTTTATCGTTAACTTGGTTTCCCTGGGTCTTTTCCCATGTGTTATGAATAAATTTTCTTGTTTTCTGGTACCGGTACTGGTTTTATTTTATTGTATTTATCCGCGACACCTTAAAGGCTGGTCCATGAAACTCTTGTCAGACATAGACCGGTCCGTGGTGCAATAAAGGTTGGGAACTGCAGGGTTACAGTTTTTTACAGACTTAGGTCACTTTTGCAAAACACTTCACACAATCCTCCTAACTGACCGTCAGCTTGGCAAAGCAGTTCATTCCACATTCAAAATGCACTACAACTACCAAAACACTTCATTCAGGTCTCAAATAAACTCATTCTTCCAGAACACTAGCAAAGGTTGACAGCTGACAAACACACTTTGTCACCCACAAAACAATGACCTAAAAAACACTAACAACATGTAGCATTACAC